AGGGAGGGGGAAAAATGAGGACCTGATGCCAGGGGCTTAAGTGGAGAGCAAATGTTTTGAGAATGATGAGGGCAATGAATGTACAAATGTGCTTTACACCATTGATGTATGTATGGATTGTGATAAGAGGTGTATGAGCCCCTAAAACAATTAAAACAATTGTTTATGGGGGCGGGGGGAAAGCCTATAATGAAATAGTCTTAGACTTTGTCATAAAATAAAATAATTCTGTAAGTACCAGATAAGAAAACTTACTCTATGTTTAGAATAGGCTTCTTACAAATATTTAAGTGGCCAACATTGGGTTCTTAACCTTCCTAATACCGCAACCCTTTAATACAGCTCCTCATGTTGTGGTGACCCCTCCAACCATAAAATTATTTTTGTTGCTACTTCTTAACTATCATTTTGCTACTGTTATTAATCGGGCGACCCCTGTGAAAGGGTGGTTCAACTCCCAAAGGGGGTCAGGGCCCACAGGTTGAGAACCACTGGCTTAGGAGGCATTTAAAATGTATTAGCGTACGTGCGTTCTTCCACCCATACCTTTATATCACTAGTGATTTATACAAGGGGGCTTCCAAAAGTTCAGTGGAGAAATGGAATGAAAAGCTAACAAATTTTTCCACAAACTTTGGAAACCCCCTTCTCCTCCCCCTGTATCCTAATATAATTTTTCATGTAAGGGAATTTTTAAGGCCTTTTCCCTTATTCCATTTTTTTCCACTTCAAAATAAATTTTCTCTCAAAGCTTGCATAGAAACCTCAAAAACATACACTTACCTGTAGTTACAGTGGGTGTGGTGGTAACAGGTGGGGCTATGGTTGTCGGCAATTTTTTGGGCCTGAATTTGTAGTGACCAATAAATCCATCTGCAGTTAAACTTAAGTCTGATAAAAACTGAATGAGAAGTTCATTTCTCTCTGATACAATTGGCCTAGAAGAAAAAATATATATAACTGTGTATATATATAGAATTTCTAAAATGTGGCATATTCTCCCTTTCCATTCATTTTGGCATTAGATTATCATTTATTTACACTTTAAAAGGGGAAAGTTTCACTCTGCGAAATATTAAAGCTAGAAGCTACTATTCCTTGAGGCCTTGCTCAGCCGGGGCTGCACTTGATGTGAGTGGCTGGCCACCACCTGACTGCTGGTGAGCGCCACCCCTTTTCTGCGCAAGAAACGCCCAGGTCCAGAGACTCCCAGTGGTGAGCCTGCGGCCCACAGTGGGTATGTGGGCAGTCATGATCTGAAGCCCAGACCGGGGCACTGTGGGAGACCTTGTGACCAAAATCGACACTGAGGCCGTGGCTGCTTTTCCACAATCACCTCAGAGTTCAGCTGGCTGGGGAGGCCACGACTTCTTTGAACTCTTGACTATGGATGCAAGTCAACAGCAGTTTGTGGAACTTACATGTCTTTGTGAGCAGGTAATGGCAGATGCAGGTAGGTTAAAATTTAACCTTTGATCTCCCTTTTGACCCATTTTAAAGTTGTTCTAGTTTCAATA